ACCCTGAAACATTTTACTCAACACAGAAATTCTGCTGGGATCCATCTGGTCACAAAGTGTTACTGGATTAGGTTACAAAATGGGTTAGACTCGGAGGTGATCCAGGCAGCATAGTGGCAAAACATTGAGGTTCTAAAAGAAGCAGCAGAGGAATTATGCAGTCATTGTACAATGCCAGCAACACTGAACACACAGATTCACCCTTTGAAAAGGCCTACCTTTCCTGTCCATATCTCAGCTCATCCGTATGTTGATTTTAATATACAAATTTGTTTTTATCTGTTTTCATATTACTTTAAGACTGTACATGATGGCATATACCTTTGATTGCAGCACTGGTGAGACAGAGGCAGGTGGATGGCTCTGAGCTGGAGGCCAGCCTGACCTACATTGTGAGTTCCAGGCCAGCCAGCTCTACATAGCAAGGCCATCTCTCAAACAACAACAACAACAACAACAAACCCCTCCAAAACACAAAATTAAATTGAGTTTAAAGAGAAGGAAAGGAAAAGCTATAAAGTAGTTACACCCTCTTGGGGCCAGTGAGAAGGCTCAAAGGGTAAAGACACCTGCCACCAAGTCTGACTTGTCTTAGATCCCTAGGACCCACCCAGTAGAAGGAGAGAACGAGTTCCCACAAGTTGTCCTCTGACATCTAAATATGTGCCATGGGTGTGCATACACATACAATGTAACTTTAGAAAAACTTTAAAGAGGTTTTACCCCCTTGGGAAAAGTATCTAGGATATCTAACACTTTCAAATTGCTGTACTCGTAGCCTAGAAATTGATATACCATTAATTATAGTAAGAATGAGACATTGTATTATTTTAGTGTGTTACTTTTAGCAAGTGGCATATACTTTTAATCACAGTGCTCAGAAGCAGAGAGAGGTGAGTCTCTATGAGTTCTTGGTCTGTATAGAAAGATCCAGGCTAGCCATGGTTATACAGTGAGACTTTGTCTCAAAAAAAATAATAATAACTTTTGCCTTTAATTTTCTGCTCCTACAGTCTTTGATGACTAAAACTGTCATAACTAGATTCTGCAAAGATTTTTAAGTGCATATGTCTGAGTGTATGGCACCATGTACACAAAGGCCTCTGAGGAGGTCAGATCCCTTGGAACTGGTATTACAAATGGTTGTGAGCCACCATATGTGAGTGCTAGGACCTGAACCCAGATGCTCTGTAAGAGTAGTAAGTGCTCTAAACCACTAAGCTAGCTCTCCAGCCCTGGAAATTTTCTTTTAACTTGGATAAAAAAATAATAAAAATAGCCAAGCATGGGGGTGCACACTTAATCCCAGCATTTGGGAGGCAGTGGTAGGTGAATCTCTGAGTTCAAGGACAGCCTGGTCTGCATATCAAATTTTGGACCAGACAGGGTTACATAGTGAGACACTGTCTAAAAAGGGGGGGGGGGGGTTAAAAAAATAAATGAAAATAGATTGTATGCTTCCAAGAAGAGGGACCCCCATAACAAATTAGCACCATGTTCCACTAAGCTATGATTCCAGGCTGGAAAGAAGTAGGTCAAATATATGAAACCAGAGAACTGACTCAAAAAATCAGAGGTATGGGGCTGGAGAGATGGCTCAGCGGTTAAGAGCATTGTCTGCTCTTCCAAAGGTCCTGAGTTCAATTCCCAGCAACCACATGGTGGCTCACAACCATCTGTAAAGAGGTCTGGTGCCCTCTTCTGGCCTTCAGGCATACACACAGACAGAATATTGTATAATAATAAATAAATATAAAAAAAATCAGAGGTATATAAAATTTGATACACGAGATCAGACTTAATTACTGGTCCCATTGCTCTGAGACTGCACATTAGTTAGTGTGTTTCCTCTAAATAAACCCATTTTGGTGGTGTTATAGGAAGGAGGATGAAGAAAGATCCCCTGATTCTCCACAGACAGGAACTTGTTTATCTACTAGTGAGAACTGGTTCAGTATCATGTTAATATTGAAGAAGTAAACTAAAAGAGTACAACTCAGTAACTCTCACACCAACAAAGAAAAAAACTGAGCAAAAACTGAGTGAAAATTCAAAATTGTTGGCTTGGTCTCTTTCAAGGAACCTGTGAGTTCAGTCTCATGCTTCTAACCCTTGTCTTCAAGTTCCCAAACTAGAATGAAACCAGATAAAAGCCCGAGGAACCACTTCACACCCTAAACACGTGCAAACTTTGCTCAACAGAACATTCTACTGCCAAAATAGTGCTGGCAGAAGTTTGTAACAAAAGCCCCAGGCTGCATGATTTGCTGGCACTGGAGAGCTTTATAATACAGCCGAGCTTGAGAACTACTAACTCACTTGAGACTCCTCCTCCAAGTCTGACTTGAGAAGGATGAAAGCTATCATCAAGGACTTTATCAACACTTTATCCTCTCTCCAGAAATAATTGGATTTCCCACTCTTGGTTGTCATGCCTCTATAGCCCTTGGTGGCTCTGTTTACACAGCAAATCTAATGCAGGCTATTTTGAAAGGCACATAAATTCAATTTTATTGGGTTGGTTTGGTAAAGGATAAGGAGAGAACTACTATACATCAACAAAATTAATTATGACAAACATGTTTAGAGAATTCTTGATCCACAAATTTTCTACACATCACAATTTATTATCTTCAAAAAATGTGGGGGATAGTGGGTTTGGGACCTAGGCTACATGAGACTCTGTTGTAAAAAATAAACAAAAAATGTGGGAGAAGTTAAGATATAGAATTACTTGTAAATTGCTGCCACTTTCCATCTGTTTCAGCCAGTCTTCTTCACTAAGTTTGAGTGATGACGTTTACTTTGTGTGATTGATATAAGAGAGCCAGAAAAGAAGCCAAGAAGAGTTTCTTCACGAGGGTCAGCAACAAAGCACTGTCTGGGGGAATCTTCTTAAGCGTGATAGTGGAGAACTGAAAATAAATTGTACTTAAATTTAAAAATTGCAGTTAGAAGCCAACACTCAAGAGGCAGAGCAAGAGGACCTTTGAGTTCAAAGCCAGCCTTAAAATAGTGAGTTCCAGTTCAGCCAGTTACATAGTGAGACTCTGTATTTAAGAAGAAAAAGTTGCAGTTAGAAAACCAATGTCTACACGGGTTGTGACTTTATACTTGCTAAGTATGAAATATTGTGAAGCATGGTTTGTTTTCTGATTTAAAAAGAAAAGGCACATTCAAAAGCATCACTTGCTTCTCACATTTAAATGTTCCCTAAAGTTCTCGGCTTTTCCTTCAGTGACCCATGCAGCTCATCAGTTTCTGTGGTCTTTTCTAGAAGCACTCTGATTCTTAGCTCCAACTCATATTTTCACCAGCTTCTAATTTCCACAATGGAAACATTTAGAACAAGATACTTGAGGATGTCAGGGCACTGACTATCTATAGTTTTAAAGACATTTGTATAGTAGTGCTGCCACCTAAAGATGAGGTGACTATAAAAGCAATTCAAAGAAAACGACCCATCACTCTTCAGCCCTTCTCATTTTCTGGCCTCTGACCAGAGATTAATGAATATTTTGTTGCATTTTAAAAGTGTAAGTTCAATGGTTTCACGATGTATTACCGAGTATCATGTTCTATAGCACAAATATCAAATTCAAACCTTTTCAGCGGTCCCTCTAATTCTTTTCAGCCCTTCACCACTATCTACAACATATAAAAGGGTCATTGAATGATACTCTGAAGACAACAGTGGAGGGTGGTGGACAGAAAGACTAAAGCTTTCTCCTTCATGGGTGAAACCATCCTTAAAATTCTGGACAACTAACTTTTCCAACTCAAAAATTCTTATCTCTAAACCAGGATGTATCGTGCCTCCTTTCTACTTTCTCACAGGTTTCACCAGATAAAATTCTCTTGAAGATTAGTGAATTTTAAAGTTCTATTGCCTAAAAACAGGGCATTTGCCGTGGATGTTCAAAATAACTTTAAAATCTGGTCAGTTATTTAAGTTATTCTCGTACTTTAAGAAAACAACAAAACGTTCATTACTCCGTAGTTAGAGGCGAGAACGTGTTGGAGACAGGCTGAAGAGTAATGGGTCGTTTCCTTTGAAATGCTTTTTTAGTGGCCTCTTTATTTTCCCAAATAATAGATGGCTTCTCTGGGAGATCTATTTAAATAAAGATGGTGAAAGCCGACTGTTATTTATTCTGCAGACCATCATTAGCTGATCTATGTCAATTCTGTGTGCTGCGTGTTGAGGTCTGAGATGTTACATGCACCAAAAATCTCAAAGTTGGTAAGATGTCATAAGCAATCTTAAAGGACATTATACAGTCCTGGGTTTCACCCCTGCATAGCAATTTATGAAAAATAACTCGCCCCTTTCTCTCTCTCTCTCTCTGCACAAAGACGCATAAATAATATTTATCAGGGTTTTGTCCTTAGTCACATTCCCTCAAAGGGGCCCAGCTTCACCTACACTGCGTGGGAGGCTGGGCAGCAACCCCACACTTCCTGTCAATGGTTGCTGGAGCAAGAGCCTCATCTAGCCTCTCCGCTGTCGCTAATTCCTCCCCTCCTGCCCCTCTTGGCCAGTGTCTGAAGGCCAAGGTGAGACCCTCCAGGGAGATGAAAGGCTAGCCGCCCCTGAGCCAGCCCGGCGGAGGGAGGGGGCGTGTGACGAGGTGGCGGCAGGCAGCAGCCGCAGTGACGCTGAGGCCCTAACGCGGAGCTGGCGCAGGCCCTTCAGGCTTCCACCCGGGCCTGAGCCCCGCCTGGGCCTCGAGAACGCCGGCGCGGGATGAGCCCCCTAGGGGCGCCCCGGGAGCGGGGTGGGGAGGGAGCGACCACCCGGGCCCGGTCCTCAGACGCGCCTCGGGGCCTGGGCTGCAGTATTGACGCGCCTAGAGCGGCGAGGGCGCGCTCCCGCGTGTGAGGCAGGGACGGGGAGCGCGCTCGGCTCCCGCGGCCTCCACGGAGCCGCGAGCGCGAGCCACGGAGGGGGTGGGCAGCGCGGGGCGCGCGCTGACGTCGCCGGGAGTCACGCAAGGAGCGCCGGGTTACGCGCCGACGTCTGGCTGCCACGACTCGCCGTGGCGGCGGCGGCGGCGAGCGGATCCCGCTGGGGAAGGAGAAGGAGAGAGGGAGAGAGAGAGAGCCGGAGGGGCTGTGAGTGAGCGGGAGGAGCCGGGTGTCAGCCCGGCCTGCCCGCGGGAGCGAGACCCAGAGCGAGCGAGCGAGCGAGGCCCGAGCCCGCCGCGCGGCCGCCGCCTCCGCCTCCTCCCCTCCCCTCCCCTCGCGGCCCGCCCCCGCCCGCAGCCCGCCCTCGTCGCGGCTCAGCCCGGAGAGCCCGAGCGAGGCGCCGTTCGGCTCGCGCCGCCGTCCAGAACAGGTGTGCGCGCGCGCCTCCCCCTCCCTCCTCCTCGCGCCCGCCTCGCGCGCGCCGGCTTCCCTCCCTCCAGCCCGCGCCCTCCCTCACCTGCGGCAGGACAGCGCCCGCCAGCCCGCCCGCCCTGGTAAGCCCCTCGCGACCTTGCTTGCTGTCACTGCCACAGTCGAGGTGCCGCCCACCCTGTCCCCTGCCACAGTCCTCTCGCAGCCCAGAAATCATTAGAGTGCCATTGCAGACCCAGGCGGTGCAGCAACGCCCCCTCCCCCCCCCCCATCCCGGGCCTGGCGGAGACGAATGAACCCCCTCCCACTTCCAAGAAGGAACATCATAACATTTCCCCCTTTTAAGAACAATTCTCCCCCCGCAGGCACTGGAGACCATAAATGATGCGGGGTTTTTTGTTTTTTCCCCTCTTCCATCTCTGAGCTCCATTTCCACAGACCACAGTGGCCCCGAGGCCTGGGACAGTGCGCTAGACGTGGCTGACACTCCCAGTACTGCATCCCTTGGAGGTGGGAAGAGGAAGGAGGGATCTATAAATTAGATTCCACTACCAATCCTTCTTCTGCTCCGCCCCCCACCCCCATTACATACGCCCAAGGTGCGTTGTTGGCTTTTTTGTTTTTTTACATTTTTTTTTAAAGGGCAAAGCAAATCGGTGCTGACATCGCCAGGCCCAAGGATGGGTGGCCCAAGCAATAGCCCGAGCGCTAGGTCTGCCTGCCTGCTCATTAGCTTTTGTCGGGGTGGGGAGTGGCGGTGGGGGCAAAAGGAAGGGATGTGAAGCTGGAGGGTCTCCTCTGAGACCGACAGCAGGACCAGAGGTGACTTGCGATGTTGTAGGAACCCTGCAAATGTATCTACCGTAAGCCTGAACTTTGGTAGAGAGAAGCCCCTAGAGACCTGCAAGGTGTAACAGAGCTGTCGGCAGTCGTCCCCCTCCCCCGAAAAATGCCACCTTTTCCGTTGTCTCTGAGGGAACTATTTGAGGCTCGGTTTTCTTCTGGGCCCCTTACGTTACTGTCCAGCTAAGGACTTTAAGGCATATTTTAGCGGTGATGTCTATGCTACCGTCCCATGTCCTTGGAAGGGAGATTTACAATAGGCTGGATTTGGTTTGGCATCTTTTGGTAGACTGCCAGAGGGGAAAGGAAAATTTTTATTTACTTTAAGACCCCCCTTTTCCCCCCGCCCAAAAGACTTAAAGGGAATTGCGGCTTTGAAAATTGGAGTGTTGGCTAAAGTATGGAAAAAGTTGCTGATTTCAGTTCCTTGAGTATAGTACTAGTAAAATCATTTAAGTATCAGATGAAGAGAGAGCTTTTGACATTTGAATCGGTTTTGTTTGGACCTTTGGGGTCCTTAAATGTTGGGTTCTGTGCATTTTTTTATGGAATTTAGAATGTGTGCTAAATTTAACTCCTCTGCAGATGTTTAAGATGAAAACCTTTTGGAGATGCAAAGTTTATTTATCACTAAATATTCCTTTTCTGAATTTGAATATTTAGTTCATATTTTTAGTTCTAAATACTCATTCAGTGTCAAAGAAAGCTAATTTTCGAGAGTGGGTAGGCTGTTGAAAGCTTCTTTAAAAGGACTCGGGCAATACTAGTGCTGTGAGATGGTTATGGTGCTAGCGTCCGTCCGCTTACTTGTGTCCCTTCCTCCCTTGGTGGAAGCCCTAAAGAAATGGAATTCTTCTGCTTTGAACATTTGCAGCCTAACATTCTGGTTGTTTTTTTTAATGATTTAAGTATTGAAGATAATTGTCTGGTTTAACCCAAGTAGCACTTGAATAAAGTTCAAATGTTCTCTTTTGGGGGAAGGAGGGATTTGGGCTTTGTAAAGTATTAATGTATTGTTTCTGTTGGGAGCACTACAATCAAGAGTTTACTACACAGAGGTAAATAGCTTCTCCTCAAGTTTATTTTATTACTATGTGTTGTTTTTTCCTGTAAAAATAAAAGGTGAATTACATTATTTTAGAATCCCTGTAGTTGAGGCAGAGGAAAATTGAGGATTTTTTTCCTTCTTGGTTTATCTCAATCTGTGCCCTAATGCAAAAAAAAAAAATGTGGGTAAGTTTGTTAAATATGTAGTGACTAAAATTTTTTTTTAGTCTTGATTCTCTTTAAAGTGTGTATATAGTGTTGATAAAGAGACTCAAAGGACCTACAAATCTTTATCAGGTAAATGTAAGCAATTTTTGAGTGAAAGGGAAATAATTCTTTTTGATGATTTTTCATTAATATAAATATTTTGCTACACATATTTCGTTTCTTTTTAGTTTTTCCTACACTGGAATGAAATTGTAAGGTTAGTCTTAACAGTTATGTATATTGAAGTAATAGATTCAAAGAGCTAAACACTAGAAAAGGTTTTTCATTTATCAAATTAGTATATTTAGGTAGTTAACAAATGGCTAACAACCTCTTTAAATCTACAGTTTTCTTAAAGATCTTCAAAGCCAGGAAGCAAATATAATTTTTAAATTTCTACTTAAAGTTCTAAACATTTTAAGACTGTCCTGTATGTTAATATTCATTTCTTCCTGGCTGCCTTTTAAGACGAATGTCATACCTGTAGCTTAAGGAAAGCCGCCTTTTACCTTTTAGACAGAGAAAAAGTCCACATTTACAAGCTTATCCTGAAGTTGACGCTCTTGATGAAGTAGTAAAAATATGCTACCTAGCTAACATTGTTGAATTGTTTGTGGGGGAAGCTTCAGTCTTGTTTACTTTTTAGAGATATAAAGAAGAGCTGCTGGCTTGTACAGGTAGAAATTACATATACGATGACTGTATAAAGCATATAATTACTCAGAAGTCTCAGTCATTTGCTGGTTTTCACTCGAAATTCCCACTCTAAGTGTGCAAATGATATTTAATTTGTATTCTACTTAGAAACCCCATCAGTTGCCTTCCTCTGAGGAAAATGTCAATTCCTGGTGATAGCTCCTCTTCCCAGAAAAGCAGGGCTCTCCAAAATTCAAACTGCTTCAGAACCCCTGGAAATAAATGTTTGGATTAACTGCGAAGTTGATTCGGGAAGGCGATTTGGAACCCCAAGTCTGGGAGAATGTAGGAACTGGCAGTGGGTGGCCTCATCAAAATCTCATTGGCCTTGCTATCTTGAGCTCTCGTTAGGCGTATGGTTTTGTTCTTTGTAAAGTAAACTCTTTTAAAAACGGCAGGTACCTCTCTAGAACCGGACTTCACTGGACCTTTCCTTCAGTCACACGTGGAAGCGTGAGACCGCTTTGTTCTATGCAGATCCCGCGTCACTCAGCATTTAGGTTACTGGAGTTGCCGGGGTCTATCCAGGGTCCTGACTGTTTCAAGGAACAAGTAGAGAGCCAGTAGGCACCTCTGTGTCTTCAGGAATTTGTTTTTGTGGTAGGAAATCCTCTAAAAGTTCCTGTTTCCCTTAACCCAACAGACTTGGGGATGGAGGAGAGAGTGCAGAAAACTCAGCACTGAAAAGGCCCTATGTGTAAGTGATTGCTTCTAAATTAAGGAGAAATTCTTTGTGAGGCCCTTAGCAAAGGTTTCTGTTTCAGAGTGAACTTCCTCTTCAGGGAGCGCTTTCAGATGTCACTGTATGCAGGTGCATGTTTCTCAGGCTGGTTCACGGGATTCCCTAATTTGCTCTTTGGTGACCAGGGTTATTTGCCCTCTTTCTTCTTTATTAATGGGAAGTGAATGTGCCTAACACTAACTAAAATGGGGCTCTTGCTGGGGAAGACATATACACCCAGTGGACAGGTTTGCCCCCAATATAAAAGGCCATATTAAGGGGCTTTTCGGGCTCAAGACCTGAAAGGCATCTGTCCATAGACTGATCTTACTTTAATTCTTTCCCCGTTAGGCAACCTTAAAGTTACCGGTTTCTGCAGCTAAGTGGGGAAGGCGGCTCCTTATTGTGGAAGAAAAGGAGTTCAGTAGAAGTGGAACCCACAGATGAATAGGCATATTACTAGGGTAGAGGCATCAATCTGTGTCGAAAAAGCCAGAGATAAGGCTGCATGGTCTGTATCCTCTCCAGTAATGTAGAGTTTGGAGTCCATGGCAAGGGTCTTCAGGAAATAGGCCTTCTCTGTGCCACAGGGCTGCACACTGCAGTAAAGTACGAGCACGCACTATCCTTCTGGATGTTGGAAAAGAAGCCCTAGATTATGAGTTATAGTTTAAAAAGAAAATTTTTATTTCTGAGCTCCATTTTTATTCTTGGGCCCCTTTCTATGGGCACAGGAGATTCCTTTTAGTAGCTAAGACTGATTGGTTAATTAATGGTCAGTAATCTGCATAAAATCCAAGATCTTTTAATATTTTACCGGGGGTGGGGGCTCTTTTGGATACTGGGAGTTTCTGGGTGGAAGAGTAAAGGGGTAAGCAAACCTGCTTTAATGAATCCCGTAAGGAACTGCGTTTCCCAGGAAATTCCTGACATTTTTAGTTCATGAATTTCCGAAAGCCTGATTGGGTTTTCTCCTCCGTTCTGGGTCCGTCCAAAAGAAGAGTGGGCCGGGGTCTGAATACTCAGCAGGGTCTGGTTCATCTGCAGAGCTGGCCGACAACCCAGGCTGGGCTGAGCCCTGAGCATGGTGCCCCCCTTCCCAAATCTCAGAAGGAGGAGGGGGGAGGCAACCAAGCAATCCTGGTCCCAAAGGGGTCTAGTTGCAGGTTTTGGGGTGAGTGTGGGTTTCTTTTCTATTATTGTTTTGGAGTAAGGGCATAGCCTACGGGAATCGGCACTGCGGGCACCTCGGCCCTGGTGCGGCTACTGTCCTTAGCCCAGCTCCCCCCGCTGGTGAGTGCGCCCGCCCGACTGTGCGGGGCTGCGGTTGGGAGGAGGGGGGAGCGGGATCATCTGAGGCCAGAGCCGCTGCCGTGCGCGGGGAGGGGGAGCGGCGGGAGCGAGGGGAGGGAGAGGGGAGGGACGGGCTAGGTGTCTGCTGCTCCGCGCCACTGCTGCCGGCGCCTGGTCCTCGTCCCCAGCAGCCCCCTCTGCAGCTAAGGGTTTACCACCGCAGCACCTCTTTTTCCTCGCCTGCCTCTTCGGCCACGGCTCTGCGGTAGGAGACAGCCCTGCCGGGTGGCGGGCAACCTTGTCTGGGTTTGGGTCTGGGTCAGGCCCACAGGGGAAAGGGAGGCCGTGACTCGGTATACCCTCTGCATCCTACTCTGCTGTGCTACGCAGGCCCCTCCCCCAATCTTCTCTTTGGGGGTCACTGGAAAGCAGAGTCAGGACTGATGTCTGTACTTAATACGGCATACCCCCCCCCCAGTTCCCCGGCTCCCCAAGTCGAGGCTGCCTAGGGTCTGGTCAACAGGGGTAGCTACGGCGGCGGTGGCGGCAGAGGCTGCGGTGGCAGCAGAACTGCGACGCGGTGCTCGCTCCCGCTCCCCCCCCTCCGGAGAGGGGTGTAGGGCGAGGGCCGGCGGGTGGGCGCCGCCTGGCGGGCAGGCGGGCAGGGTTGCTGGCCTGGGGAAGGGGCGCAGTCACGTGCCGGCGGGCGGGTGGGCGCGTACAGTAGGGCGTCCTGCTACTGTACTGGGGAGTCAGTGCCCTGTTACCGGGTCTCGTCTGTCTCGTCTCTCCCGCAGATCTCGCGAGAGTGGCTGACTGGCTGTGGGGGTTGCGGCGGCAGCAGGCGGAGCCGGGGAGGGAAAGCAGCGGCGGCTGAGGCGACTGAGGCGGCGGGCGGAGCGGCAGGCGGCGGCGCGGCGGCGGAGCGCAGCATCATGGCGGACCGAGACAGTGGCAGCGAGCAGGGTGGTGCGGCGCTGGGCTCGGGCGGCTCCCTAGGGCACCCGGGCTCGGGCTCAGGCTCCGGCGGGGGCGGTGGTGGCGGCGGGGGCGGCGGCGGCAGTGGCGGCGGCGGCGGGGCCCCGGGGGGGCTGCAGCACGAGACGCAGGAGCTGGCCTCCAAGCGGGTGGACATCCAGAACAAGCGTTTCTACCTGGACGTGAAGCAGAACGCTAAGGGCCGTTTCCTCAAGATCGCTGAGGTGGGCGCTGGCGGCAACAAGAGCCGCCTCACCCTCTCCATGTCTGTGGCAGTGGAGTTCCGCGACTACCTGGGCGACTTCATCGAGCACTACGCGCAGCTGGGCCCCAGCCAGCCGCCCGACCTGGCCCAGGCACAGGACGAGCCACGCCGGGCGCTCAAGAGCGAGTTCCTGGTGCGCGAAAACCGCAAGTACTACATGGATCTCAAGGAGAACCAGCGCGGCCGCTTCCTGCGCATCCGCCAGACAGTCAACCGGGGGCCCGGCCTGGGCTCCACGCAGGGCCAGACCATTGCGCTGCCCGCACAGGGGCTCATCGAGTTCCGTGACGCTCTGGCCAAGCTCATCGACGACTATGGAGTGGAGGAGGAGCCGGCCGAGCTGCCCGAGGGCACCTCCTTGACTGTGGACAACAAGCGCTTCTTCTTCGATGTGGGCTCCAACAAGTACGGCGTGTTTATGCGTGTCAGTGAGGTGAAGCCCACCTACCGCAACTCCATCACCGTGCCCTACAAGGTGTGGGCCAAGTTCGGACACACCTTCTGCAAGTACTCGGAGGAGATGAAGAAGATTCAAGAGAAGCAGAGGGAGAAGCGGGCCGCTTGTGAGCAGCTCCACCAGCAGCAGCAACAGCAGCAGGAGGAGACCACCGCTGCCACCCTGCTACTGCAGGGTGAGGAAGAAGGGGAAGAAGATTGATCAAACTGAATGAAACACACACACACACACACGCATACACGTACGTGTACACACACACACACACAGCCACACACAGAGAGAAAATATACTGTAAAGAGAGAAAATAAAAAGTTAAAAAGTTTAAAAAAAAAACTTAAACTCCAAGGGAGCACCACCCACAGAACCTCCACCAACTGACAGTTTCTCTTCTTGACTTGCCACCCATCGCTGGATGTTGTCCACTTTATCCACCATGTAAAACAGTAAGCAGCTGCTAAAAACAAAAAAATATACAAAAAGTAATAACATTATATGAACTGTGTTTCCTACTTGATTAAAAAATATAAAGAACTGAGTGTTTATTTCCCTAATTAACCAAGAACTTTTGTACACGTTTAAGCTATTATTATTAAAAGTGTTTGCAAAATGGTCAAGATTATAATATTGCTGAATTATATAAAAAGTCCTTTTCATGTTGAGCTAACATTTGACTTTAGCACAAAAAAGAGATATTTTAGAACACGTAAAATAATATTTTTAGTTTTTCTCATTTTGTTACCAAATTTCAAACCTTACATGGAGGTTATTATAGTATATTTGACATCCTATATACCTGTGATTAGAGATGTGTATATATATGAGGGCTAGGCATGCTGTGTGTCTGAGCTTTGTCTAAATGTTATGCAGAAGTTTGTAGAGTTCAAGGTACGTAGGTTTAATTCATGCAAGGTAAACAATAAGTGCTCTCTTTTATACAATATGCATTGCATCTGGACCTTAAACATATAAAAATGGTCAGTGAAACTTCTGTGAACATGAAGAAATTATTAAAAAAGGCATTTAAATGAAATTTGCTAAGTTGTGATTTTTATGGTTGGAACCAAAGTTATTCAAATAGTAAAAGAAAAAGAGAAAGAAAAAGGAAATTTCCCATAATATTTTTCTGCATCTGTTTGCTTTGACTGAGTAGGTGTTTTGTTATTATTGTGTATATGAGATGTACTTGTATTGTTCATAATATATATTTTTTATTATGTGTAGAAAGATTTTAAAAACCTAACTAACGTGCAGCAATTTCCAGTGAACCTGTACTTGGATATCAGGTAGTGAGTCTATTTGTGGTCACTAGCACTGTCTCCTAAACTTGTAAGAGGTCTGAAGCTATCCTTTGATTTTTTTGCCAGTGCTATTAACTTATGTAGACCTGTTTAAAAGCAAAGCAACACCATTATAGTTATCCTACTGAGCCATGGATTCTGAGTTTCCTTTAAAAGTGAAAGCCAAGTTGGTGTATGTAAAGGATTTCCATGTAGCTGTGGTGCTAGTTATTACTGGCTACATTATATGTAAGTGTTTTGTGTTCCCCAAGTGTACAAGCCTTCTGTCAAAAGTATGTTCTATTATCACTCATATTCAAAGTTTAGGGTATGAAAATGCAAGCTTAGGAGAGCACTTTACCAAGCTGGTGTCCTCCACTGAAATTGTTTGTAACGATAGTCTTTTACAGGTTTTCATTTGAAGATGTTTGTGTGCTTTTAATTGACAACTAACTTCTTGCTGCTGTATAGTAAAATATTAATATATTTTTTATCATTAAACTGCTGCATGACTATCATCTTTGAGTGAAGAGAAAAATGTTATAAAAAGATGCCTTAAATACAGTACATTTTGGTTTGGAATTCTGTAGAAAGTATTTTGGTAAAAAAAGAAAAAAGAAAAAAAGAGGATCTTGGATCTTGTCTTGACAGAGAGAGTTCTGGACATGCAATTGTTTCTTGGCAAATCCAGCCATCTAGATCTACCTGCTGTATGTAGAAGAAACCACCGGTAGGACTGGGAACGGTCAGTACCTTTCCCATTGGAAAGCATCCGCCTAGGAAGGCAGAACAGTTGTCTTTTTTGAAGGATTTTTTTTTCCTGCTGGCTCTTTAGGTTTTGATTTGATATTTTTAAGCTTTCTGGTTGTACGTGTTGAATAACAAGCTATTTTCATTGTACTGTGCATTTTCCACTGTTTGCTTTTCATATTCATACAATGTTAACTATGAGGTGACCGTACAATAGTTAGGGGTTTCTTTACTTACAAAATCACTGGAAATTATTAAATTGCTTTCCCCTCCCCCAAGGTGCATTTTTTTATTATTTTCATATAGTAAAGTTGAGCTTTTACAGTGCATAATGTGACATTTGGAATGCTTATCAACTGCATGTAAACATTAATAACCTGCACTTTTGTCTTAAGGTTTGTTGAGCTGTTTTGTTCACTGTACTTTAACTGTGATATGGAAAAGATTGCATTCTCTGTGCTGTTTCTAATTAGGAAAGAGAATTGCTTTGATTTTGTCTCTTGTTTACTATAGCTTCTTAAAGTTAAGCCTTGTGCTACGAGTTGTTGGAGTATTCCTAGATCAGTGTTTCGTAGTAGCCAGCAGTCAGTAGTGCAAGTCAACAAAAACACAGCAAACTTAGGCAAAGTGTCCTTTCTTTGAGATGCAAGTTCTTTCATTAGGTTTTCTTTAGGGTCAACTGCCTAAAGTGAAACCTTTCTTACCTATAGACTTCAGATTCTGCTTGGAATCCTACTGGATCAAGAAGCACATGTACTGTGCTGTTGTCTTTACACTATAACAGTTAAACACAATCTTACTAGGACTTTGAATCCATTGTCTGATTTATGGTCAGTGGGTTTAAAAAGAAATCCACACGCAGATCTTTTAAGACTTAAAAAGTGGTCATATAGAGAAGACTGAGTGACTGTAAAGATGCTCTTTTTGTTCAAAGCATCTCACTTTCTCCCCATCAACCTCCTCACCTCCCTTCCCCTTCTCCTGTTTCATCCTCCCCTACATTTATTTCTCTCCCAGGTGCTCGGTACTTTACCAAGGTTCTATATTTCAGTGTATTATGTTAGAGTCTCTTCATGTTTTTAGTTTTACTAGTGGGTAGCCCCAGTTTGTGCTGAAAAAAGAAGGGTATATTTGACCATATGTGTTGTTCATAGAAGACAGTATGATCAAATGTGCCAAAAACAAGCAAACAGAACTTAATTCATGACAAGTATGCCTTATTTTTATTGATCTGCTTTGTCTTATAATTAAGGTCCAAGAGCTTGGTTAAACTATGTTATTTGCCTAAGTAAAAAAAGAAAACTTGAAATGCATTGAGCTATTGATGTTCTTTAAAAATGAGAGACACTGTCAAGTAATTTGATCCAGAGATCAGCCACCAGATTTGAAGAATATGTGCGTATGTGTGTGTGTGCGCGTGTGTGAGTGTGTGTGTGTGTGGTGGTAGTGGTGGTGGTATTTGTGAGTTCCCCCCCCCCTTAAATCACCAAATCTTATTTTAAAGCTACCTTTTATTTGTGCCTCCTATTTATCATTCAGATGTTAGAAGCAGCAGTCATCCAGCCACAGGGGGAGCTAAAGTTAACTAACCAGAACTATAGAAATCATCATACATGCCTTTGACAACAAAGGAGGTTCATAAGAAAGCCATGTTGGCTTTTCCTCTACTAGACACACATTGAAGGTAGATGAACATTTGCCAAATGAGAAAAAAAGACAAAGTAGTCAGGAAAGACAAACTCTTTTCCAGCTTCTCAAAAGCCATGGAAAGTAGAAACCAAAACCAATGGGAAATTTAAAAAACTCTGAAAGTCTCACTTTCTAGTCCCATGCAGGGGTTAAAATTTGACTCAAAATGGAAAGTCTGTCAATTTTTGTTTTTAGGCCTTTACATCTAAAGATGGATAACTATTCCAGTTTGATTTTTTTTTTTCAGGTAATGGAGAAAGCTGCTAGTGATTTTAACCCCTGCCGAAAGGAGACAGATAATTTCATTTGGGAGCAAATACTTATTGCCTTGAGAAATAGCACTATAATAGCCTATGTTAATTAGTCGTAGAATAACCTTTATCCCTTTCAAGCTATGCAAATTATTAAATAAGTGTAAATTAGAATTCAATTAAAGAGAGTTGATTATATTGCAATCAGATGGTATTCACAAACTTAACTGAAGCATATACAAATAAAATCTATTAGTTTAAGAGTTTTTTTAATGCTGACATAAATATAATTTAACTACCTAGTGCTGCACACTATTAACATTGTATGATAGGTCTGGGAAGACTGCCTCCTTTTTTTTGAAGAGAGATTAAGAATTTTTATAATTGTTTTTCATCAAACTTTAATATTTTTGTCAAGTTTTTAGGTATTTAATTTGTAAAACAGTTTGCTTTGTACTGGCATACAGATATTAGGGTATTGATTTTAAACTTTTTGAAGCCAAGTGATCAAGTACATTTGTAATAAAAATCAATGGATCTCTATCATTTGTACTCACTGTTTTTATTTCTTGTTCTTGTCATTGTAGGAATTTGTACCTTTTTCTGCAGGAAAATGGAGCTAAATTTGGGTAGAAGGGGTGAGGAAGATAAATCTGTTGAGAGTAGTCTGGGTGGATTTGGTGGCTCAAAGCATGTCATAGCATCAGAGTTAGTGTGTTGGAAAAGAAGTAATGTCATCTTTTTTCTTCCTGATTTTTTTTTTTTTAAGTGGAACTTAATGTTTGGAGAGGTTATCTCAGTTTTGTTTCTGTACTTGAAAGTTTTGTGTTTTGGCAGTGTTGAAACTTTTTAAACACATTTTTCTCTCATGACATTTTGTGTTAATTGGCCAGCCATGGTGACCCCACTATGGGCATGGGATTATTTTTATCTTTACATGACTTACCTTCTCTTCTCCAATATTTCCATTAGTTTTTTTTTCATATTATACACTTATATTTCTAGATGATTTTAGAATGGGACTTCCTGAAATGACTCGGGTAGCTTTCATAACTCCAGTTAATTTTAATATATAAGTGTACTTTTAATATTTTCTTCCCCATAAAACAGAAAATCATCCCCCCCCTTTTTTTGTTGTTTCTTGGATATTAGGATGAGATTTTGTTTACTGTGTTAAAGAAAGCTAAGACAAGATATTAGGATGAGATTTTGTTTACTGTGTTAAAGAAAGCTAAGACAAGGGTATCTTGAGCACTTTAGATTCGAAATAGTGGGTGATAACTGAATATAACATTTATGGTTGTTACCTCTAAATGTGAGTATCAGTAATTTAGAGGGAACTCAAGTTTTGTCATGAGAATAGACTAAGGGAAAGATCTTTTTTTTTTTTTTTTTTTTTTTTTTTTTTTGGTTTTTCGAGACAGGGTTTCTCTGTGGTTTTGGAGCCTGTCCTGGAACTAGCTCTTGTAGACCAGGCTGGTCTCGAACTCACAGAGATCCGCCTGCCTCTGCCTCCCGAGTGCTGGGATTAAAGATCTTTTTAATTGCTTAAGCAAATTTACCAGTTTTGTAAGTTTGTTTTAAAGTTTATCAAATTTTAAAACAGTGTTTTCTTCATTGTAAGCCAATTTAGGCCATTCATAGTAACATATTCTATAAAACTAAAGTGATGACTACTTAAGATGACTATCCAGCAGCATTAATATTACCATAGCTCTGCAGAGTTAGCAGTGCATTTTTTTAAGAAAAGCTGACTTAAAGATTTATGAAGCTATTTGATCCTAAAACCAAACCTAAATTTAAGGCCTAGGCCATCCTAGCTAAGACTAGCTTCTCTGAACAGAAATTTCATTATTATGGACTACGTAATGGTGATCTAAACTAGCATTAGTAGAATTTCAAGATTCAAGAGCAACCAGATGAAATATAAGAAATGTGGCTGGTTCTAAGTAGTTTGTCATCTTCCATTTACAAAATGACTACCTGATTTTGATATTAAAGGGCCTGGGCAGCTTACATCTTCAGAAAAGTTGAATGTGGAAAATAGCCTCCTGGTGATGTTT